ACTACTCCAACTGCTAGATACACGTTCCTCATTCTGACAGCTCCTAAACAAAAACGGGGCTGTACTTAGCGAGGGGAAAGGAATGCACCATGACGTGATAGTTCCTTGGGCAACAAATCCCACTTCTAGCAAAGTGAGGAAGCTCCTAGGTGAAGGAACCAGTTCGCCAATGCATGAAGGGAAGTAAAAGAGTTGAAAATGAAAATATGTGGCTATGATGTTTCAACTCAAAGGTTTTGCTTGAGTTCTCTGGCTATTTGTTACGGCTCAGAAATTAGATTTTGAGAAGCAACTTGGCTGTCTTCATTTGATGCGGGGGTCCTCCCACCGTCAAAAGTTCGTCACTAATTCGAACTTACAGCAGTTTTTCAAAAACAATTTTATGAATCTGAGGCCTTGCTTAGTCGCGGCTTTTTAAAGTATTGGAATTTGCATGAACGTCGTTATCAATTCCCACGCGAAGTTAGTAGAGTGGATAATTAGCCCAAGTTTTTTTCACCTTGATCATGCGATTTTCAGTTCTGGGAGGTCATCTCTGACGAGCATGGCATCCAGCCCGATGGATCATACAAAGGGGAGAGCGATCTCCAACTAGAGCGAATCAATGTTTACTACAATGAGGCTAATGGTCAGTCCCACAAGAAGCTCTTCATAAGCATCCGCTCCGCAAACAGTTGTTCCAGGAGGGAAGTATGTTCCACGAGCTGTACTTGTTGATTTGGAACCTGGAACGATGGACTCAGTACGCTCCGGACCTTTCGGTGCTCTGTTTCGCCCCGACAACTTTGTCTTCGGACAGTCCGGAGCCGGAAATAATTGGGCCAAAGGTCACTATACAGAAGGAGCCGAGCTTGTTGATAGCGTCCTTGATGTAGTTCGCAAGGAGGCGGAGGGATGCGACTGTCTTCAGGTTGGTGAATTTGACTTATGTTAACAAATTGGAATACTAGATCCAATTTTGATGTTATTTTCAGGGTTTCCAACTCACACACTCGCTTGGAGGAGGCACTGGGTCAGGAATGGGAACCTTGTTGATTGCCAAGATCCGTGAAGAATACCCTGATAGGATTATGTCTTCCTTCTCGGTTGTGCCTTCACCAAAGGTGAGTGTTCGGCAGTCGATGAACAAAGTCGAGTCTCATGGCCATTATCTCCATTAAATAGTACATTTCTCTTCAATTTAGTTTCGAATATTATTTACTGAGTGCATTTGCATACTACTGAGCTAAATGAAATGTGAAAGCTAATGATCTCTTCTTTGACGAATCATATACCATTTGTTTAGGTTTCCGATACCGTGGTTGAGCCTTACAATGCCACACTTTCGGTTCACCAACTGGTTGAGAACACGGACGAAACTTTCTGCATTGACAACGAAGTCACTCTACGAACATTTTGCTTCCGCAAACGCTTTCAAGCTCACTAACCCTACTTATGGAGACCTCAACCATCTTGGTTCGTTTTCGATTTGCTCCTGTTCTGTATGATCACTGAATCGGGATTGTTGAAATGAGAGAGCAGTACTGAAGTCGAATGCATTACCCATTGCCAAGTATGCTGCTCTGAACTCTGCAATGACTCATGGTCGAGAGGCGAAATTTCGCAATGGCCATTGATGAGAGTGAAATGAGCCCGTGCGCGGAGTGGCCATTGCGGGAATCCCGTGTCAGAGGGGATGTTTAGTTTTGGCAATTAGCTTTAAGATTGCCTGGTATCCGGTAGGCAACTAATGGACAGGAGAAGGTATCCTGGGAGGTATGCACCACTTGCCTTACTAGCTTGGCTTAGTAGTTTACACCAAATGGGCTATTTGACCAAACATAAACGTTATCCTAATGATTGATTGATAGGGTTACATCTAGTTAATGAACTATGTCTCAATTATCCAGCTACCCTGGCTGTTGTGGTAATGGAAACCTAATGACCTCCTGAGTTCATTCCAAAGCTGGCCACTCAATTTGGAGGCGTGCTGTGGGCCTTGTCCGATTGGTATTCCCAATTTAATGAGACAATCGTTGGAAGAGGTTTGCAGAGATAGGAGCGTCCAGTGTTAGCGTATCGATTTCTGCTCGTCCTTTTATGTTGGCATTATCCTCAAGGGCAGGCATTACGACTGACGCCGATGAAATTTCTATCGCCGCTTGTGTGATGCGACGTAAAGCCGATATGTACGACGGCAACGGCTAAACTATTCGTACCATTGTGAGATAATCAGGGAAATGAAAGCACATACTTTGGTTGGCAGGTGAAAGGGTGTTTAGGTAGGTTTTCGTGTTTGAAAAAGCGTTCATTTGTGGATAGGAAATGTGTATTTGGCTACTGTGGGAAGAGTAACCTATTCGATTAGATAGAGCTGTAATGAGTTGCGCTTTATGATTGACTCGTCTGAAAAGCTGTCTTAACCTCGTTTTCAGTATCCGTAACAATGTCTGGAGTAACAACGTGCTTGCGATTCCCTGGCCAACTAAATGCTGATCTTCGCAAATTGGCCGTCAACATGGTACCCTTCCCTCGCTTGCATTTCTTCATGCCTGGATTTGCGCCATTGTCAGCAAAGGGAGCTCAAGCATACCGTGCACTTACCGTTTCTGAGCTCACACAACAGGTGAGGTGTTTTTGTGGAGCTTCTTCTCTGACAAAATCCTTTCATTTGCCCATGATTCCTTCAGATGTTTGACGCCAAGAACATGATGGCTGCTTGTGACCCACGACATGGCCGTTACCTGACGGTCGCTGCTATGTTCCGTGGACGTATGAGTATGCGCGTGAGTTGAATTTGTTTCATCTTTGCAAAAGACATTTAGCGCTTGGTTGGATTTTGCCTTTTTTGTGATGCCCCGCGCGCGCTTCTCTGTGAAATCGTAATGACCTAAAATGTCATTGAATTGTGTGTTCAGCGCAGTTTTTCCATCCTTTGAATGCCCTGGAATTTAAGATAAAAAATATTTTTGATTTTGTTTGCTGTACTGGATGAAGAGCAGTTAGTTTAGGAGGTCGATGACCAAATGATGTCTGTACAAAACAAGAACTCATCCTACTTCGTGGAGTGGATTCCTAACAATGTGAAGACAGCTGTGTGCGACATTCCACCCCGAGGTCTGAAAATGGCTGCCACCTTCGTTGGAAATTCCACAGCAATTCAAGAGCTGTTCAAACGTATATCAGAACAATTCACTGGTAAGATTCTTCGTACGGTCTGTAGTTTGTGAGGGAACTGAGCCATTTCCATACAATTTTTCTTTAGCTATGTTCCGTCGTAAGGCCTTCTTGCATTGGTACACTGGTGAGGGTATGGACGAGATGGAATTCACAGAAGCCGAATCTAACATGAACGATCTTGTGTCCGAGTATCAACAATATCAAGAGGCAACTGCCGATGACGACGGTGAAGCGGAAGGAGCCGTTGAGAACGACACCTACGCAGAAGAGTAAAAAAAGCAATTGCCTAATTCACTATGCATCTCATTTCTAGCAGCTATCGTACTGCGCACATTGTATAAGTCTCTCTCGAAAGCTGTTCTCACTGCACTTTCTATTTGTGATTTTTATATGTTCTATATCTGCTGCTATTTATTTCCTTCGCGAGCTTCCCGATGAGTATGATAAAGCGGATGATCAAGCTTCAAATGAGTGTGGTGTTGAGATGAAAAGTCTACTTAACTGGCGGCACCTATTTCTGGCATATACTAGCCAGCTAAGATGCTTTTCGAAATATTCGGTTGGTCAGTTTTTCAAATCCATAAACGGTTGGTAGCGCATTATTTACACCCGTAGAGCTGCTTCAAGTCAAGTGACTTAAAAGTAGAGCTACTAGACAAGACGTTCGTCGCGCGCCAGAAGAACGCGGTACGGTTCACGAGAGCTTGCAGTGATTTGCTCAAGTTAAAATTGGAAGGAAAGTGATCACAGAATTACCGCTGCGCCTCATCGCTGAGGGATGCTTCTTATCGCGAGCGGTCGTCCTGTCGTGACACAAATAGAGGTGGGTTCCCAGTTTTGGTGACCTCATATTCTTTGGAGTTTTGCGCCTTTCGGTAATTGATGTAAGTAGGATTTTTAGAGAATATAGTATAATGCTAAAAGGTCGATTTTATTTTGAAAAGTGTTGTTTTTCTTCGCACATCCTTTCGTGTGAAGCGACACCCGGACGAATTTTGGGGGGAAATCTGTATATGTAGTATAGCGATATTCGACGATTAGTGACGACGAATCTAAAGAACGCGAACAGGGCTTTAACAGGGACTTCCTGTCTGCCCGATTAGCGATGTGGGAAAACGCGGTTGACGAGTATTGCTGAATTGCCGCATTAGGATGCGTCCAGTGACCCCCCCCCCCCCCCCCGCCCCCCCCCCCCCCCCCCCCCCCTTTAAAACACTAAATTATTACTAACATATAAATAACATAACAACTACAACATCAAAATGATGAAACGTGCAGTGCAAAGGCAGAGCGCATTGTTACTCAAAGAGACGAGTTCAAATACTCCTGTGGTTCGAAACGAGCGGATGGCTCGTAGCCAGTCTGCTGGCAAGTGGGCGGTCCCCGAAGAAATTTCCAACCACCCCATCTTTGAGGAGTTTAACGCCCTTTTTAGAGTTTTCCAGGTGAGTTTTCTTTATAGCTTCACTTTAGATGTTCTCCAATAGGCCTGTGCATCCTCTAGTGCCATTAGTATTTGAGAAGCGACTGCTGAGGATGTTGCTTTGAGGGCTGGCATCTGTTTTACCGTGATGGGCCTGTTTTACGGCTAATTGTGTCGTCGATGTTAATGGGTCCTTTGAATGTGAACATAATAGTCGTCTCTGTTCTTCACTGCAAAAACACCAGCGGACATCGACAAATTAGCAGCTGCTTGAAAAGAGCCGTCACGGCTAGGACATATTCAATAATTAGGCGTGCAAAGCATGGTTGTTCAAGAAAATTGTGCGCCAAGAATTATAGGGGGGGGTGGCCAAAGAGGGTTTTATTTATTCAGCGCTTATTTGGGGCTAATCTTTGGCTAATTTACGTGAGTGGTACTATACTCCTGAGAAGCCATGCAGTTTGCATTGTCACTAAATTTTCCGTAGGCCTTCTACCCGGAGTGATTTACAAGACAATGCCTGGCCTAATGCGACGCTCCGAACATGCATAGCTATCAGTTTCTGCTTGCACGGAAGGTTGCCAGGAGTCGGCGCTCCTGGCAACATGACTGGAAGGATGACTTTATTGAGTGGCGGATAGTAGCTAATGTTCCTCTTTCTGTACTCTACTGAACTCGAGAGACTCCAGAACTCCTCATGGAACCCAAGCCCCAATCATTAAGTCGTACTGCGCTTTGGCAAGACAGTGAGCACAAAATAAAAAAGAAACAACACGTAAGAGAATTATTTTTGCTTTTATTTGGAGATGGGGGGGGGAAGGAGGAGGAAACGAGATTACATTTATCGAGAAGCAATTACTGCTGCCGTGAATCTCCATCGTTGACGTTACTTTGCGCGACGTTAGCTTTGCTGATAGGAGCTATGGAAGAACTTTGCTGATATGGGCTTTTTTGCCATCCCTTTAAAGTAAACTTGTGATAAACACCCAAAGCTTTGCTGTGCCGCACTTTCTATTTTTTTCCTTCAATGGCCCAGAACTTTTTCATGGTCGATTAGTAGGGTAACATAGAAGGTCGAGAGTAAGGATTCAGTAAGTGGCCTTATAAATTCTCTTCCCGCGTGATAGTGTGGCCGCCGCGATCAAAAAACAATATTCGAGGAAGTACATGTGAGTACATGGCAATGATGTGTTCCTCAATTGCAAGTTTTATTTGGTGGAACTCTCATGAAATTTCACAACTTCTGAAATTTTTACAGAAGTTTAGGGATTTTCTCCCGTTTTGGCTGTACCGTATGCCGACCGTTTGACGGACATAATTTTAGGGAAAGCCCAGTGTATAGGTTGAGGGAACGGTCAACAGAATCGTCTCGTCGTCGCGCCGCCGCGTGCGGCCACTTGCACGGCGTCGCGACGCGGTAGATCTCCGAAGAGTGGGACAGTCGATGAGTGGATTTTGAATGGGGGCTGCTTGGTCTATGCAGTCAAGTTGAATTACTTACAGAAGCTCGTTCGCTACAGTTGGGGGACGGTCGCTGCACGGCCAGTAGCGCGGTGCGAGCAGAGGCCCTGCGTCCGTCGGCAAGCGAAAGCTCACCGGAGTACCGCCGCGGCGTAGGATAAGCTGCAAGTGCAGAAATGGGGACTAAGAAGAACAGATTATATCGATGTGAAGGAGAGGCGGTCTAAACTGGGCTGCCAGTTTTGACTGCAGAACGTCCGGCGACTTGGGTGGTGATGTTTTAGCGGGCGTTGGGGATTTGACCGTTCTCCCTAATAGCGCGGGGTCGCGAGAACCCGAAGTTTGAGGTAGAAAAAAGGATGTGAAAGAGCGCTGGTTTGGCCTCATTTTAGGACCTTTGTGAGTTTTTCTAATTTTACCTTAGCGGTAGTCCCTCTATTGGCTCACTCAATTTTATGTATAAATAAATAAACAAATAAATAATTAAATGATTAAATAAATAAAAGATAGTGGTCGAGGAAATTCTCCACTATGGTATGGTTATGTACTGTGTGGGAACAGTGTTGAGAGTGACGTGGTGCGAAGATAAGCGGCTGCGCGTGAGTGTAATGTATGCACAGGAGAGTGTAAATGAAAGGGCAAAAATCTTCGACGAGTCGTTGGCAAATCTTCGACCAATTTCCACCCTGGGTACGACCCGAGACGGAGGTAGTTGGAATTTTAACTGGGGAAATGGATGCCGTAATATCACTCGGGAGGAGGGTGAATAACGGTCGAGGAATTTTTCGACTAGACTGTATTATGCGGAGGTGGTCGAGAGGTGAATGTACGCGCGGTAGAGCACAGGACGGCTCCGGGTGGCGAGTAATGAACCCACGCGGAGGGTGAGAATCTCGATGATAGCGTGAGGAATTCGAGCGATTTTACTGTTGGAAGGGTCAGATTCGTAAAGAGGGGGAGATGAGTGGCCTATTCACATCAGCTTTCATGGTGGACTCACATCTGTGAAGATACTCTTTATTTCCTGCAGCTTCAGGGAGGTAATCTCGGGTCCGTATAAACTGTTTGAAAAATTGAATTAAATCAATGATAAGTTAGCGAAATCGAGGTGAAATGTAGTCGCGTCGGTGAGAAGTCATAAAATTTGGAATAATGTATGAAATTACGAATGTCATTGCCGGACGCTTTCCTACAGAGTCGAAGATTGTACAATTATTGATAGGATCCTTTTAATGCTTGGAAATTTATAATATTTATTCTTTCAGACCTTGATGCTTATTATTCAGATGCTGGTGGCGGAGAACTAAACCTCTATCAGTGGGGAGGGGCGTGTTCCCTGATATTCAAATCAATGATTCCTTTGCTTGGATGAGCAGGCTGGGAGTATTTTTATATGTGTGTGTCAGAGAAAAATATGTCAAATGGGCCTGTTATTTGGGTGGTCTGTGTTAGCGTCGACATTATTTTCATCATTATCAAGAGAAGAGGGGAAGGAGAAGAAAGTTATCTCATTTGATGCTTATTTGACTTAGCTAAAACACTGAATAATGGTAGGCTAAGAAAGTTTCCTGCTAAAAAAACAAAACATGCTGGGTAACTACTATAGGTTCTGAATAGTCCGAACAGGAGGCGCAAGCTCCTTCTATTGCGTCCTGGTAGTTTTCTGAGTTTGAGTTTTTTCGAGACATTTTTTTTATCAAAGGCAGCAGTAGCGGTAATTTGATACTAGCGAAGTTTGAAAGTGGAGGTACCGAGTGTGTCGGTGAAAAACAAGGCAGATGCCTGACTTTGCAATTCTGGCGATTTGCACTAGCAAATTTAACGATTTGAGCGATTTTAGTGGTTCGAGAGCGTGCGAAAGTGGCAGTTGTCAACACGCGTACGAGTGGGTTCACTATTGCAAGAGAAAATGGAACATTCATAAGGCAAGCTACATGTTGACGAATCATCTGCTGATTTCGGGCAGTGGACAGCTACCCCTGATAAGTTTATATCCGGAAGTTGTTTTTGTTGTTTGGTGCTGAAAGTGTGGTTAGTTGTACCCCAGGTGAAAAGTTGACCCGTGCGTTACTGGTAGGACTGCCGGTAAGCCGAGGGTAAGGGTTCGCGTCGTCTGGGGCGAGATTTTGTTCACTAACAGCTTCTGTGTGATGATAGCCCTTTGTGGTATGTGGTTTTTCGTAAATTGGGTCTGACTATTTTGTTATTTGTCGCCATTGTGGACCATAGGTTCTTCTTCCTCCGCCTGTACAAGTGATAAATAAATGATTAGATAAATGATATGTGAATCAAGGAAATCAAAAATCTTTAACTTTCTTATGTTTTATAGATCTCGAATTACAGGTATTCAGTGCAGTAGATACTTTTTAGTTTTATTGAAGATTTTGTA